CCCCGATTCCAAGTCACATTGATCTAGCCGGTAACACCTCATATCACTTTGCGGCCTCACACACGGTATTCCCACGGGTGTCGCCTTACCATGGCCGGGACCGTTTGTGCCTTTTGACTCACGTATATGATAGTGTCGCTAGCATCCACATGACAGGGAACCCGGGCCGATATGGCTAGTCGTGAACCCAAAGCGGCACCAACCTATGGGAACAGACATACATGAATCACATCGAGCATGTCGGTCAGCAGCGTGTGAATCCGGGCTGTAGCACTGGGCTAACAGGACTCCGGTAACCCGGGCTGTAGCAGGCTAGGCAGGACTCCGGATGTCACCGCGTGACATTTCCCCAAAGGGACAGACACAGGAACGAAGTGAAACACATGCCGGCCAGTCAAGTGTCCTGAGCAGTAGTGCTGGGCTAGCAGGACTCCGACGAACTGGGCTGTAGCGGACTACTATGGCTCATGGAAGCACTAGACTACATTTCCCCATAAGAGAGGCTGCCAAGGATAAACAACTAGATTGTCGGATCCCACACATACCAAGCATTTCAATCATACACACAATATGCTCGATATGTGTAAATACAACATGGCATCACAACAAGACTCTACGACTCAAGTATTTACTCATCAGGCTCCGAGGAGCGAGATATTACAAACATGGGTCTCATGGCCCAACATTCAGAGCATACAAGTCAAAACACAAGCGGAAGCTTAACATGTCTGAGTACAGACATCTACAAATGAAAAAGGCTGAGAAGCCTGACTATCTACCAGATCCTGCCGAGGGCACAAGATCGTAGCTGAGGTATCAAGCTAACGTCGAAGTCCACACGGAACTACTAGCGAGACTGACGTCTCTCTGCAAAACATAAAATAGGCAAACGTGAGTACAAATGTACCCAGCAAGACTTACATCAGAACTATCTACATATGCATCGGTATCAATAAAGGGGGGTGGTGGAGTTTAACTGCAGCAAGCCAGCTTTGACTCAGTGGCTAACCTGAACTACGACTGCAAGCAACTCTTTTGAGGTGGCGCACACGAGTCCACATATTCACCATTCAATACACCACTATGGATCCGCTCCCGTCTCCCCACGAGAAGGCCATCCATAGCACTCACACTTATCTTGCGAGTTTTAGAGTATCCATTTTCACTTGTCTATGAACTGTTATAGGCAATCCAGAAGTCCATTACCGCGGACACAGCTATTCGAATAGATGATGCTAACCCTGCAGGGGTGTACTTCTTCACACACGCTCTCACCACTTACCGCCGTTTACACGACATGTATTCGGCAACCTTCAAGCGGAAGCCCAACGAGGGTGTCGGCCACGGCCTACCTAAACACTCAAGTATCTAGTCCAGGTTTATCACCTATCCAGGTTCCATCCGCAGGGAGTCCGGCCGAGGTTTCCACATACGGCCCCGAACGATGTGTACAGGGATCCGAGACACCAAACGGGCGCCCGGCATGCCCGGCCATGGTGTATCTACCACATCATAGCCCACCCCTAGGGCCAGCGCTATGCACGGCCGCCAACACATAACCTACAAACACCAGAAACTAGTTGCAACTCCTGGACAGAGTACTAGGGTGATTAAGAAGCCGAGAGGGTCGATCAAGGATCCCAATGAGTGGTTGTAGCTGTTCATGGATCACAGACACAGAACTCAGTTCCTGAGGACGGTTTCAATGAGACAACCCACCATGTACTCCTACATGGCCTCTCACCGCTACCTTTACCAAAACGTGTTCACACACTTAGCTCACACACAGTAGGACATGTTTACACACCTCCGATTCATCCCCGATGAATCAGACCTGACCCAACTCTAAGCAGTAGCAGGCATGACAAACAAGCATGAATGAGTAGGCACATCAGGGCTCAAACAACTCCTACTCATGCTAGTGGGTTTCATCTATTTACTGTGGCAATGACAGGTCATGCAGAGGATAAGGGGTTCAACTACCGCAACAAGTAACAGATGATCGTTGTTGTCCTAATGCAGTAAAAGAGAGCAGGAGCGAGAGAGTGGGCTTGTATCAGAATGAATAAGGGGGTTGTGCTTGCCTGGCACTTCTGAAGATAGTAATAGCTTTTCATCGGTGTCATCGAACACATCGTCGGAACGTCGTCTACTGAAGGGGGACAAACACCGGCAAAAGAGAAGAACACAATCAATGCATATGCGACAATATGATCCATGATCATGACATGGCAATATGCTGTGATTTGAGCTAATGCATCTAGTTATGATTTAAATGAAGTTGGTTTGAATACAAGATTCAAATTCCAACTCCATATATGTTTATTTAAATGCCTTGTATTTGTTTTGTCCAAAACAGAGGACAAACATTGTTCAAACATGCATGAAAAGGGTACAGATGGATTCCTTGAATTTTTCTGATAATTTTACATATATAATTTATTTTATTTGGAGTTACGGTTGAATTTCTAGGATTTTTAGAAGTTTAGGCAATTTTTTGGAATTTTCTAAATTATTTAGAATTAACTAATTCCAGAAAATGAATTATTGCGTCAACATTACGTCACCGTGACATCAGCAGGTCAAAGGCGTCATCCCAGGTTAAACCTGACGATTGGGACCCACACGTCAGTGTCTCAGGTTGGTTTGGGT